ACTAAATTATGCGCAAATCGCATAATTATGCGCCGATTGGCAACACTGACAGATAGATAGGCAACTCTATATATAAATTTGGTTTATTAGCACCACTGGTGAGTGGAGTCAATACTAATCACCATTTGGCGGGAAATTCAAATGGTTAAGTATTAATTTTATCCCTTTAGCGCCTCTGGTGGGTCATTTCGGTACTAACTAAAATTTAGTGGGAAATTCAAAATATTTTATTATTTTCCAATGGAATAATCTCACATATCGTGAGTGATGTGACAATACCTATCTGCTTTTTCACAAGTTTTGTAGGGAGACGAAAATCTCTATTTATAGGAACTATAACTAAACTTTAAAAACTAAGGAATCAAATAAAACTAAACTGAAAAAACTAAAGAATCAACTAACCGAACTTAAAAAACTAAGGAACCAATTTAAAATTATCAAGATTAAATTACAAACGAAAGTTAAAGATAATTAAATTAAAAATGAAAACTGTAAACAAGCCAAAGCACGTGGAAGACGAAAATGGACGAAACTCGAAAATATACAAATAGATTCCACCGAACTTCTAACTCGATGACAAATATCATTCATCAACTTGTCATTACTTTTGACGGAATTGACATGGCGGAATTAAGCTTCGTTTGATTATTATATTTGTGACATTCAGAGATGGTGTTAAAATAAAATGATTGGTTAAAGTCTTCGTGAGCGAGATAGGCTGTCATCTCTCTTTATTAACCGACTGGAGTCAAAGTGATGGGGGAAATGTTCAAGGTTATTCATATAAGATTCCAGGCCATGGTATTCTACCACGTTCTACCTTCTACTTAACCTATATCTATCTTACAAACTAAATCTTCTTCTTTTTTATATATAATTAGTGTCTGTATAATATACCTACTCTCTATAAAGATTTTAACGTAGAGTTGATATATATTTTAACACTTTTTATATTGTAATACTGTAAAATTGCAGTGTCGTACGGATTTGATATGTCAAAGTCAAAAAATTTCAAAACGTCAATGCTTTCGCGAGTGTTCAACATTTTAATTTTGTGTTTATTTAATATAAATAATTTAAGATGTGTGTTTATTTAATATAAAATAGATTTAAAATAAAATGCATATTAAAAAAAAAGACTTCTTTATTTTCGTTATTAAGATCATAATCCATTTTATTCAAAAAACTGTTTTCTAGATATTTTAATTTTAATCTACCTATTCTAGCTAGTACACCACTGGCAACGTCACTTTGACGTAAAAAGTGCGTTTAAACGAAGTAAAAATTTAAAAAATGAGCTCCTAGATACGTGAACCTGTAAACTATTCCGTGACCGCAACTGTACATAGTGTTTTTCACATATATATTTTCATACATTTCATTTATTAAAGTAAAAAATTAAAACAACTAAATATTCACTTATAACACTAACTTGCACCTCAATAACAAACAGTTGAGCACATAATCTCAATGGGACCGTTGGCTTTGCATGATTTTAAAAAATTTCAATAAATCTGGCTCATAACTTGTTTTAAGTTTCAAACACGACTCTAAATTTTTCATTTGTTAGTTGGCTTCTTAGTTTACTTTTAATTATATTAATGCAAGAGAACACTTGCTCGCAAGAATATGTCGATCCGAAGATAGTACTCCAAATGCCAACTTCTTCACCTCACTGGTGAAGCTGTCCACTTTCTTTGCGTTACGTACATACATTTCTGGACTTCCAACTATTCCAACTTGCTTGTCAATTCAGTAAATTTTCCACTCCACAAAGCTTTACTTTTGCATACAATCGATATATTGCATTTCTAAAGATCCAGTATGAATTTCAAATGATTCAACGTAAATTTCGCTACTTTTTGTGTTGAGAGGATTTACTATGAATGCTAAAGTAGTTTTGTTGGTTTTGAATTGTTCAAATCTGCCAGCAAATTCATCTTTACTTAATTTTTTTTGTAACTGTGCTGAAGTAATTCGTGCCATCAGTCGCACCGGTTTTATCGCGATATTGCTTTAGAAATTGAAAATTAAGTAATTTACCGCTCTGAACATCTTCTGCAAAAATAATTAATTTTTCTTCAAATCAAAAAATTTCTTCCACCAAAACATAGGCTGGGTTTCCCTTTCCTTGCAGTTTTAGATTCAGCTCATTTAATTTCGCTGTGATATCCTCCATAAAGTAAAATTTTTTCAACCATTTGTCATTCCCTTATTCAGGGTGATTGGTGCCTTTTTCATTTAGGAATATATTTATTTCATTCAAGCACAAAGTAAAACGTTTCAACACCTTACCTTTGGAAAGCCATCGCACTATATTATGAAGAAGGAGGTCGGAATACTGAGCCTCAATTTCGTTTAAGAATTCTTTAAACTGATGATGGTAGAGTGCTTTTGACAAGATGCTATTAACAATCTTGTTCACCAAATTCATGACCTCAACTATTTCGGCCGGAAGTGTTTGGGCACAAAGTAATTCTTGGTGTATTATGCAGTGAAACGTAAGCGAGTATTAGTGACTGAGAGAATCGGTGTCTAATCATCGTTAATCATTCAGAAGGCACTTTTTTTTGGTAAAATAAATAATATTTGCGTGTGGAACTAAAGAGTCGCAGCTTCACATCCAAAGAACCGCATGCGGACCCCTGCATTAGGCGATCGACATGTTTGCATAGTTTGAAACAAATCATTATTGATGAATGTGAACTAATACGTGAAGAGGTTTTGTAAAGAGTGACTCATGAATTTAACCTTTCAGAGGTCGCGGTCATAAAGTGTACTACATAGGTCGCGGTGTATCTCAGAGATAGAAACATTCGGTTCTACATTCGTTTAAGTTTAATGTTTCAATAAGATTGAAAAAAAAACTGATCGAGATCGGAAGAAACGTTTATTTTGAACATAACTAATCAAAAAATAAGCGGATTTAAATTAATTTATTGTCGAGAGAAAATAAAATAAATGCAGTATTAATGAACATAACAATCTAAAAACATGTAATAACTATTATTATTGTTACTAATCTAAGGTAAAAATAACCAACCACATAATTAGATTTAGCTAAACTTAATCAGATTCATCAGGAGAAGGATTAGTAAAACGGTTATAACTCTTGCAAACAATATTGCTGTGCTCAAGACATAAAAATGTGACACAACATTTACAATAGTATTTGGACAAACGCATCGTCTCGCTTTGTCGCATAGAAAGAAGAACAGATTTTTCTTTTATTGTCCGTTTTAGTAACATCTGGGTCTGCCCCAATGGTTGAACTTTTCTCCTTATGTTTCTGAAGCTGCAATGGTTTGTGAACACCTGTAGATCCGATCAGGGTTTTATTTGCTCTGAGAATAACTGACTTAAAGGTTTCGAATGAAAAGTCTACCTCGTATTTTTGAATTCTGATTTAGCATGTGAATGGACTGTGAGTTTATCCCAGCAACGTTCAAGACGACGTAGAATATCACCATAGGCCACCTTCTGCTGTTTTTGGCTACATTATAGGAACCAACTATTTGGTCTACGCATTCTCAACCCCCGATTTCGTATGATTGTAATAATTGATTATCCTGGCTTGTGCGTATCTGAATTTACTACGTCATCGAAGTGCATACTACAAGTGCATCTTATATACTAAAATTACGTTTTTTTCCCTTCTTCGGCACATGCGATGATACAAGAGTACAATCATCACTAAAAGCAAAAAAATTAGTCTGTCCCTACTATGGACGTATAATACCTACATATGATAATCTGTTCTTTTTCAAATCGCTGACGAGAGTTAGATCGGTGAAATAAGAAATAATTATCACCAGTGATATTTCGTTCTGAATTATAGATAGGTTCTTGACAGCATGGTTTATTGCTGACACAAAACAGACCTTCAGTCTACATCAATAAAAATCTTTCAAATAGTCTATTTTTTGTCGCCATCTGTCCCTCTCTTTTCCAATTATTTATTTTTAGTTTTTTAGTTCTTTAGTTGCCGTCCGTCATCTCTGATTTGGCTACATTCAATGACGTATAATATATAGACTCGGTGAACGCTTTAAAAAGTGTCCAAAACATGAATACCTTTGTTATTGTTTATTGTTTTGATACGAAGATGCACGAAGTTCATGATTTCTTACGAAGCATCACGAAGTTGATCTTGTGTTTGAAAACATCATGGACGTATGAAAACATTTTCTCCATTTTGTGTGACAAGCAAATTTTATTTTAAATTGTTGAGAGTTATTAACTTACTATTTTAGTAAAATGCAATACTATTTTATCAAAATAATTATTTCTCTTATACAGGAACAAAAAGAAATCATAAATATTTAATTTTAATTAAAAAAATAATTATTGTCATTAACATATAAATGAGCACGCCGCTGTTGTGATAAACATACCTTCAACCTTGAGCCGAGATCTTTCGGACACTCGATTCTATAGCGAGAATAGGGGACTGCGTAGTCTATATATTATACGTCATTGGCTACATTGAATATATTAAAAACTGACATCGACAAATGACACTTCTGTCCAAGTGTTTTTGTTTTGCTTTAGAGATTTCTTATTTTCTAGTTATTCAAATAACATCAAATTACTTTTGTAAAGTGTCAAGAAAAAACTGTGAATAAAAATAGTGTGGTCATTTATTGTCCTCATTTTAAAGCATAATGACTGGGACCCCTTACATTTTATATGTACCAGACATTGCCCTAGAAAAGATTTTTTCCTTTTTAAGTTATGACGAGATTGCTAAGAATAGAATTGTAAGTATGCAGTTTAACTAGTTCTTATTATTTATTATTTAAGGGGAGTTATAAAGATTCTATAATTATAAATTGATGTTTCCTTTGTTACAAAACAAATAGTGATATTTTTATCCATGTTTGTTAACCTGAATTTGACGTTTGACATTTACATTATAAGACAAATAATTATATTTTATTATAAGGCGGGAATTACATCCTTTGTATAGTTGTAAAGACAATGTAATTTAAAAATAGAAAATGGACGAAGAATTCGATCCTCTGGACCTTTTGTTGTTAGCGGCTACTGAGGAACTACAAGACTCAACTAACAACCAAATTAAACCAAAATCTTTAAAGGAAACTAATTTATTTGAACAAGAATCCAATATTAAACCATTTGCCACAACAACAAACAACAATTTAGTTCATACAGGAGATACCGATTCATCAGATGATGAAGATAGACGAAATTGGGAAGAAAAGAAGTACACTGAAAGTGGTAGAGAAATTAAAAAAATATTAGATGTTCCCACAAAAATAGGCAGTAACAAAAGCCGAGTATCTAGAGTATCCAATTGGAAGAAAAGCTCAGTACCTGCTGTAAAAGAAAATAATAAAAAGAGTGTAAATCCTCTGAATAATCCGAATCCCTCAGTATTCTCACAAGCTGATGTAATATTTGGAATTCGTGTTATTAACCCACTAGTATCCTCTGCAGTCATTGCAGAGCGAATGATAGGTCGTGAAGCTATACCTTTTAACAAGCTGGGTAGATTTTTACAGATAAAAACTGAAGAAAAAGACTGGGTAATAGCAGGGGTTGTGGTACATAAAAGTGCTGCTAAAACTTCACAAAAAGGTAACCAATTTAGTGTATGGACTTTAACTGATTTAAGAGATGATATTAAAACAGTAGCAGTATTTCTATTTGGAGGGGCTCATGGCCAGTTATGGAAAACAAGTGTTGGTACTGTTGTAGGACTGCTTAATCCTAATGTTTTGGAGAAGAAAGAAGGTAGAGATGAGGTAAGACACTAACTTTTTATACACTTATAATAGGTCTGTTCCTTTATTTTCTGGTGTAGCACTAGTTCTAAAAAAGTGTAGAAGTGCTACACTAAGTCATTCCTTTATAAAATCAGTATGGTGTACAGATTCATAGTAAATCGATTATTTCACGTTTTTACCCCCCTGCGAGGGGGTTTTAGCAAGCAGCCTGAGGGTGAAAGTGGTAAACTTTTTTGCATCTTTTTTGGGTCCCAAAATTATTATTCTCTGCAAAACTCAGCATGTTCATATGATTTTTAGGGGTCAACTTTCTGATGACTGGACTAAAAGTGTAATACCAGTGTTGGTAAATCTACACCTACTTCTGAGGGTGATTATCTACATTTTGGGCAAAATCATCCAACCGACTTTGACAACTGTTTAACTGTCAGATGTGTTTGTTTACAAAAAATATCTTTTTGTTTATAGTTTAATTTAAATTTAATAACAATAAAGAGCTTTTTAATTTTAAAAACTTTAGTACTTACAAAATTTAATTTGATTTAATTTTTTATTTTGTTATCTTTTAAATTGAGTTGATAACTTTATTTCATCACTCTTTTTAGTATTTTTTTAAAGATACAAAATTAACTGCACTAGAATGTTTGTTCCTTTGTTTAGTGTCACAGCTATGATTTTCGTTTGACACTAGCCAGTGTAGCTTACATTCAACTAAACTTGAAAGTGCTACATTAGAAAACAAAGAAACAGACCTATTAAGAATGTAATATGTGCAAAAATAGTAAGTATACTCCATTCCACAAATATACGACTGTTTTTAAATTCGCTTTAAGGTGTCGACTTAAATGGTCCAATGTGCTGAATTGTACAATGGTAAATTCTCCCCATTTTTAAAATACTGTTATGACAGATATACACCTTAGATTTAAATATGAAGTTATGATCTAAATATAGAATTGATAGTTTATAGAATAGTTGTAATTCAGATTTTAAAGTATGCTCAAAGCAAACAAAAAACTAACAAAGTGGAATACTAGATTCTTTTCCTGGTTTCTGAACCATCATTGTTCTGCCAATTTCTTTTTATTTATATTAAAAATATTTTATTTCTTTTTATTACCGTTGTAGACCTAATAAAGTAATAAAGATACCCGGCGCGCCTCTTTGGTGTTTACATTTCACCGAAATCCAACCCAAATGACCAATGAACACATTTTAACTTCATAGAGGTCATTGTATTTATTTGTAGGACCGTTACGTAAATTTTTTTGTTATTTTCGGATTAATTTTCACAATAAATTTTGCGTCTATCTGAACATCTACTAACTGAAATAATTTTAGTTTATATGTAATAGTAACAGAAGATCCTTTTTTTATGGAATAATAATTAGACCAATTTACTTTCATACTTCTACTTGTACAGTAAAATATTCGTTGTAGCAATAATTCCAAACAGTCGTATATTCGTGGAATAACCTATACAGCATGACAGAGATTTCAATATATACAGGTGTTAATATTTATTAAGAAAATATCCAAAAACACATGTTTGAATTTCAACAGAGCCAATTTAATTTTGTTTCCATCAAGGTGACATGGAATCTTTGGATTACTATCTATATACTAGTAAAAGAGAAACTGCAAATAAAACTTACTGAAGCACAATCTGATTTATGAAAGGGTTTTGTAAGATTTAAAAAAAAATTTTTCTTATTACTTAATCATTCAAATTTTTATAATATCAGTACTTACTATCATTTTATTTTTTATTATGTGCTTGATTATTTGGATTTATGTGAGCACTGTAGAATTTTCTTCTTACCTTCAAAGATGTTTTGAACCTTTTAGAACAAGGGAAATGTTTTATTGCTGTACAATTTTTTTCTTTGAAAATTCAAGTTCTTTCACAGGTGTGTAGTATAATTTGGGTATTACTACCTGTGGGAGTTAGATACATTCTGGAGGGTAACAGCTGAATGACGTCCATTCTGATTTCTGACTTCTTTATTACACTCCTAGATTTGTTAAAAGGCACTTGTCTTAAATTCAAGCATAATTCATTGATAAAAATTTCATCTCAGCAGACATTGTTCCGTCTTATTACACTAGTACCTAAACAAGTATTAAGTAGGTGAATTCAAATTTTGCAATAATTTTTCAATAATTTGAAATGATAAGTCACATTAAAAAATTAGAATAGAATCGCTCTATCTATCTAATCAGCCTTAAACGCCCACTCTTGGGCATAGGCCTCTCCTGTTAATCTCCATTGGTCTCTATTTTGGGCAATCTGCATCCAGTCCTTTCCTGCCGTTCTCTTAAGATCGTCAGTCCATCTCATCTGTGGTCTTCCTCTTTTTCTTTTCTTTTCTTTTCCCATGGTCTCCAGTGTAGAATTCGCTTATTCCATCTTTAGAATCGCTATATGCATAAAATTATATTGAATTTTTTGTTTCTCTTTATAGTTGCAAAATCCTTATCACAGGGAAGAAACAAATGTTTTTTAATGGGAAAATAGTGTACAATTTTCGAAGATCTAGTAATGTCCTTTAGAGAAAGGAGCATTTAAATGAGTGTGTGATTTTTATTTTTTCCCCAGCACTTGTCACAATATAAATGAAGTTCGTTTATATTGTCTGAAATTTTCTATAGGTAATCCTAACGAAACAGACAAATTTCATTTCTGTTTTTTTCCCTTATCCTTTATGGTAATAAACATTCTAGCAGTATTTTCTTTGATATTTTGGATACAGAATACAGAGACTGTTAATTTTTGATAATAAAAGACCTCCCCTGCAGGGGTTTTTGGCAACTGAATGTTCTGCATAAAGTTAAATGCTAGTGCTAATATATTACCATTGTTGCAACCATCAAATGAAGTTTGTTTGTATTGTCTGAAAGTTTCTATAGGTAATCCAAAAGAAACGGACAAATTTCATTTCTGTTTTTCTCCCTTCTCCTTCATGGCAAATAAACATTCTAGCAGTATTTTCTTTGATATTTTGGATACAGAATTTAGAGACTGTTAATGTTGGATAATAAGAGTCCTCTTCATAAAGTTCTGCATAAAGTTGAATGCTAGTGCTAATATATTATCATTGTTGCAACCATCACTTTCATTTTTGGTGTAAAATATTTTACTCTGACGCTTATGGATCATAAATTCTGTCACTGCTAGTTTGATGGTTGCATTTAAATTGGGGTCTTTCATCTTATTATTCAATGTCTTACAAGTGGAACAGACATCAATTTCTGGTCCACCAAATGTAAATGAAAAGTTTTCATATAAATAAGTCAAACATTATTTTAAGATTTAACTGACTGTCAATGTATTTAATTTCTTGATTGGAATAATACTGATTTTAACTGGAAATGATTCAATATGCTGATGAATGGCTGCTTGGACATCTCCAAATTTATTAACACTTTGATTAAGACCATACAGATCTCTTGGAGATTTTCCAAGAACAGCAAGATCTCTAAGACATTTAAAGACACTGTGGTTCTAACAGTGCTTTTATATACATAATATTTAAAGACATTGGACTTCAGTTTATTTCCAACATGAAGCCTAGCATGCTGGCTCTGTACATTGTAAAGTTCTGTTAGTCCTTGCAAAAATATTTCTTGTTTTACTTTACAATTCAAATAAAAAACGTCTTAAATTTTGTTGCAATTCCTTGTCAACAAATTTTGTCAAAACCTTATAGTTTGCACCTTAAAAAAAAGAAGACTCAAGAGGTTTATCAGGAATATTATCTCCCTTGTAATTTCTTTATGGTTCGCCTTTTGTATGTAATTTTTTATTAATATTTTGTTGGTAATTTTTCAGGAAGACCTTTCCCTTTTTTTGAGTAGTAACTTCGGCAGTTGTTTCCATTTTACACTATTTTTAATAACAAATCACTTCAAAAAACAATGCAAAACACCCTACATATAACTACTACATAGATTATGATTGCATTTCTTGTAGAAGTAACCGATTTCACAGCTGTTAAAGGCGCATGCATGTCTAAACTCTTATTCAGCAGAAACGGCACATGTCCAGGACTTGTGTGGTTTCTACTGATTACCCAATAAATATTTCGTTGACTACTATATAGGTTAAATCTGGACATGTGTTATTTTGCCATAGTGTGATGTAATTACTTCCATATACTCATATTCTTCCAAAAACCTGATGTACGGAAAAAATAGACATGTGTTGTTTCTGCACATAAAGATTCAATAAGAAACTTCAAAGATGGCTTTAAGCACATAAAGGGAGATTGCATTTAGACAAATTAAAGACATTGAAAAATCTAATTTCCTAGACCCATGTATGCATTTTTGATATCCATTGTTATTATTTTAGATTTCACTTTTCATTTTTATTAGTTTTTTTGTCACATAAGGCAGCACTCATTTTCTTCTCTTTTGTCCAACCTAAACCTTAAATTAGTTAGCAATTACAAAATTATTATTGTTTAGAAATACTTGTATGTTCTAACCCTTTGCATTTTTTATTTTCAGGCGAGTCTCAGCATAGATAATGCCCAGAAAGTAATGGTCCTGGGCCAATCCAAAGATTTTGGTATTTGTAAAAGTGTCAAGAAAAATGGAGATAAATGCACAGCAATAGTTAATTTAGCCATGTGTCAGTATTGTGTTTATCACATTAAACAAGAATACCAGAAATGCAGTATAAGATCTGATTTACAATCATCATTTACTGGAAAAGGTCTTACAGCACTCAGAAATAAGGTGCTGGGTAAAAACGAAGTGTTCTATGCAGGAAAGTCATATATGGCAATTCCAGCCAAAAAAAGTAGAAAATTGGAACAAAAAGATAATGCTAGATTAGATAGTTTAAGTGGAAAAGGTATTCCCCAACTAAGTGTTAAAGCAGCACCTTCTGTAAAGAAAAAGTTAAGTGCTGCTAGGCTGTGCAGATGCGCCCAATCTTCCATTGTCAACATGATATAAAAGATTTAGACCCATGATAGATCAAGTGTTCGAGGTCCCCAAAGCAAAAACCAACCCCCCCCCCTTATTTAAAAGCTGTTCCACCCTCAATCAGTATAAAGGCCGCAATTTGTACAGCTCAACCTCTTAGCAAGCCACAGTATAAACCGTAGACATCAACAGTCACAACAAAACAAATTTCCTAATACCGTGCCCTATAGTATCCTGCGCCGGAGCTCCCCTGATACGCCCCCAACCTCCCTGGCGTGTGCCGGGTAATCGGTGACCCACACACCCCCCCGCGCAACCCCCTGGGGGGCCACATCCCACATGCACAATGGAAAGCGTTTCCTTATTCCGCCTCCGAAGACCCACCCCACCATGTACGACCCCCACTCCTCATACAGTTCCCCCCCTAAAGCATAATCCATAAAAAAACCGCCCCTGCCCTCTCCCATTCACAAATACCCTCATCAAACCCCCGGCTCTCCCACCCGCACACGGCTAACTCTCCCAACCAAATAGTCCTTATAACCTACCAACCCCGTCAAAGCCCGGTGTGGACCCTAGCACACTGCTCCTAACCGAAAACTCCCCGCCAGTAACGCCTCATCATCACCCTACGCGATATCACACTGGCCATAAGTCTAATAAACCCCCACAACTTTGACCTAAAGCACACGCCATCATCTTCGCCCCCCTCACCGGTTGTCCCCTTCCAACAACCTCAGCCCAGGATCCCACTTCGGTTCGGAATCACCCAACTGCACATGATCACCTCACCACGAAAAACACGAATGGCATTACTACCACTCCCAATAGACATCAGCCAGAATAAAACACCCCAAAGATTTCTCTTCCGGCTCAACAGATACCAGACAGTCACACGATATAATAATCTAGCTACTCCCCGCTACAGCACACAGAATAACCCACGGACATCTCTCCTTCACCTTCCCCCATACATCCCCCCTTCAAACACGCCCCACCCTACTCCATTCCCGGCACTTACCACCAGTATGATTTCACATAACTACACGATAGCCTATTATTTCCTGCATACAATGCAAGACAATGAAAGGTCGATCGTAGCCTATCAACAATAACCCTACTAATCAGTCATAACCCCGCTCAAAATACCCCATATTCCCCATTCCGATCCGCTAGGACTGAGTAGCTACTATTAGGATCCCTAAGACTGTCTTATTCGTTCTACCTTTGTGACGTGAAACACATTGCAAAAGACAGTAATGAATCATAGTACATTAGCCCCGTAAGCTTTCGTGCATAGATATTAACGCCAATCGCGATGAGGAGAACAGAATTTTACAAAAACAGGGTGGAAGTCTTACTTAAGCAAATCTAATTTATTGGTGTCCTTTACACATTATACTTAATTTACAAATGTATATTATTAAATATATCATATTAACTACCTTATAATAATATCTATATGTGCCAACTTCCTCTGTTTTATACAAAACCCACACGAAAATAAGCGTGAACGGATAACATCCAGAATAAGGTTGAGATGGAATCGCATTACAACAATAACTGAAAAAGCAACTCCAAGACCTCGCATATACAAAAAACAGCCTTCACTAACTCTTCCTCCTTGTACACTATAAGCAAACCCTCCATCTCACAACCACGTTCCCCACCAGGTCCTTCAACACTCATCTAGAAAATCTGAATGGACCCCCAAACACACACTGCACCAGGCACTTGCACATAATAAAAGTACGAGCCAAAAAATAAAAACAGATAAAGGCAACCGAGCATACTCATAGAACAATCGCAAAAAAAATTGCATACGAACCATATTATAGCCATTCTTGGGACGCCTTTGAGAATGCTTATAGCGCAAAACCCAAGCATAGATGCACTAGTGCCACTACACTCGCACAGTACCAACAGCATAACAATAACCCTACGTCATCATAATACCCCTATATCTGTCCACCTGCACACGCGGACCACACATGGTCGCCAAAACCAATAACGTTAAATACAAGCTCAAGGCAGAATTTACCAAACGTACCAGCCGGTAACTGCCCAACATACATAGCGTAGGCAAAAACAAGACTCTGACACGAGAGTGACAAAAATTAAGTTAGAAACGAACAGATATGGGAACAACCTCAGTTATGCCGCACATATGCAGACCTCTAATGGACATACTTCGACTCATTCCTACAACTACAACGAGGGTCAAAAGTCCCATGTTACCTTTAATCCATCGTAAGCTCTATAGAATCATTAAAAACAAAAAAACAAAAAATAAAAATTAACAACAAAATGTACTTAAACATTGCGTTTTATCGGGATATTTAAACACCACATAATTTAATCTTGGTTGTCTACATTCATGTACTATTCCAAGACACTGATAAGGATGACAAGGATTCCGAAAAGCGTTTTTCTTTTGGTAGAACTTAGCCCCGATTTGTGCCTAAAATAAACCTAATACAAAGGATTTAAATTAAATGATTATAAAAGTTTACTTGTATGAACAAATGGACGAAAAATTACGGAAGTGGTTCCTCTGAGTAAAAATGCGAGGTTAATAAAGAGAGGCTTAATTTGCATAAACCATGAATACGCCGTACGTCATGAGCAGACTGTATTTAAATTTAAAAAATACGAAAGAACGCAAACAAAATATTTCTCACAAACTTGTATTACTATTAATATGAGATTAAAAATACTGTGCTGAACCCTACTTATCAAACAAGGTATCACTCCAATTTTAAAATGTAAGAATAGAATCTGAGTTTGATAAACCTGGTGACTTTAAGAAAGTAGTTGAATCTCTATACTAATCCAGAGGGTGAGATCATGAGGAACTTTAAGCAGTCTTCTAAGACCAATATGTAGAGATCCCTATCATGGAGCATATCATGTGGTCCACTAAAAGATGTCAACTCCTTCTGTCTTTTATTAATAAACACGGTGATTATGAGTAATTGAACGCATTATTTCATTTTAAGCATTATTGTTTATACGGCACAATTGATTTTTTTAATTTATTTGCAATAACATAACACTACTGCTCAAGCATTTCGTACACAGCTATTAGCAAAACAAAAAAATGTCCAGGACAGGCTTTGGAAAAATTTTTACTTTAGAGGGATTCGTAAAAATATTCCACCCTGTATATAAATATAGCAAAAGGGTAATCTAAATACTAAAGGCTATGTATATATATATATCGTTTAAATGCAAAAATGATTTTCAAATTAACAAAACTACAAAATATCCAAAAGAAAACTACAATATTCGCGCAAAGCAGTCGCAATATTAAATTAAATAATTAGTGAACGCACAAATCTCTACCAAAAATAGAAGTCAACCCTGCAAGAAGTAATCAAATATAAAATGAAATAAATTAAAACAAATAATAAAAATTATCCAACATTAATAAATGAACAGAAAAACTGAGTCACAGGCACACCAAAAAACATTCAACTACTACTCAAAAACTAAGAACAATTAAAAAAAAAACCAAAAAAAAGATCTGCATTTGTGCGGACCCGTAATATTTACGCAGGATCACAGAAACTAGTGATCGCCATTTTTATTAAATTTTTACTTCTTTTAAGAACTCACCTTTTACGTCCACAAGTTCCGTTGCCAGTGTATTAGCTAGTTAGAATTGGTAAGATTAAAATTAAAATACTCAAAATATTTATCCAAAATTGAAAAAGTAAGAAAACAGTTTTTTTGAATAAAATGGATTATGAACTTAATAACCAAAATAAAGAAGGTCTATAATTTTTAATAAGCCAATTTAAATTTTATATCTCAATTAAATTAAATAACCTAAACATTGATAAAATAAAGAATTAAATATTTGGTGGAAGCCCTAACATTCTATAGACAATACAAATTTGGGCATGTGATCTGGTTACATAGTATAGCCTCCAATCCCCACATGTATAAGTAAACAATCTCTTCCTGCGATGGCCGTGCTCCTTGCTTATCCAAAATTCACTTATATTCTCGTGTTCTAAGGGTTTGCTTTCGATTTAGAGTTTTCGTTTGTTAACTCTTGGCCCACGCACATTCGGGCGACGGGGTTAAATGTCTGCATCGTACGGGAAGGGGCCACGGAAGAAGCTATATACCATCAGTTTCTTCTTGCCATTCTCGAAGCAATTCTACTCGTATGCACCGCGTGCAATTAGTTTCATGGTTGTGTAATTGTATACAGGTACCGTGTGTTGAGTGAATCTCTTGGATCAACCGTATGCGCAACATTAGTTGTTTGGCTCAAGAATCAGACTGTGTGTTTGTACTAGTACTCCGTGTTAACTATCGTGCACTCTACATGATAACAAAAGGGACGCCGCGTTGGCCTTCCGGCATCTTAATCCATCGCCCTATTTACGACTGTTACCAGAGACACTGCCTGACTCCACTGAGTTTCTTAACAGTGGATGCGTATAAGCTGTTTACGAGTCCATACCCTATGAGTATTTCTACTGGGCCGAATACAACTCATCTATACTGACGCATTATTATACGAACAGAAATACTTTTTTCATCGGAAAATACAACACCCTAGACCAAAATTGCTCGATCGCGTTTATAAATTCATTACAAAATTCAACTCGTCTCCTCTTTGTGATCCTCAGTCAAAAAAGTTTCCGTTCAGCTACACAATTTATAGCAGTCCACTTGCTTTAATGTCTTCGACGTGCAGTGCGAATACTGCCTGGAAAACGCTGCCTCTTCTCTTGCCTTTTGAGCTGTTGGCAAAAGGAGATTCTCATCAAATAATCTACATAACATCTCATCCTGTTGATCTGTGGAAATCTTCTGCCCTCCTAACCGCCCAACCGTGCTATAGAGTGAAAATTATCCCATCTTTGTTTTAATCTTCCATATGCACATAAGACTCAGCGTTCAAATCAGCAGCAACTTGCCTAGTGCCAACCTTCTTCGAGTTTGCAATTGCTCTTAGCTATTTTGGCGCATAAAATCAAAATGTATTCTAACCAGTTTGGAAGAGGTTTCATATAGCTTTTACTTTTAATTTATTGTTGAGACACTCGCGCAAATCATATGACCGGTGTTTTGAAATTTTTTTTGACTTTGCGACATTTATCAAATGCCGTACGACACTCGCAATTTTATAAAGACAATGTATTACAATATAAAAATGTAAAGGTGTAAACTATTGCCGTGACGCCGCAACTGTACATAGTATTAAAAACCCCAAAATTAGAAGCAGGAAAAGAATACAATAATGTAATCAAAATAAAAATAATTCACAATAGATTTTCGAAATGGAACCCATGTGCAGCCGGTACGCCCATATTTGTTGCCGTAAATGTTAATATACGTAGGGGTGGTTTAAATAGCTGATACTCATTGGGATCGTTACGTCTAATAGTATACAACCATCGTATAATATCCAAACATTAAATGGATTATAATTTATATTATATATATATTTATATATTATATTTTTTTATTTTTTTTTTTTTTTTTTTTATTTTTTTCTTTTTATATTTTTTTTTTTTTTTTTTTTATTTTTTTTATTTTTTTTTTTATGTCGTTATTAAATTCCACATTGGCTTAAAGCAAGTTGCTGGCTTCCAATCGTCCCTCCAAATATGGTAATCAATCAACGGGAATTGAAATCATGGGGATCTTGAAGGGCCCACTTAAATAGGACCTGCACGTTCCTATCTCACCTGATGTCAATAAACATTATTGAGATGTTGTCTCACTGCCGAGTAAAAAGTGTGGGGGTGGCCCCATCAAGCTGAAAATATCAATGCTGCCGGGTGGGGTCGGATAGCAACGTTCGCGTTGGCAAGGCAAATATCGGCAAAAAAATATGTAGAATATCTTCAAATAGACCCATGGCCCTGATTAAAGGACCCATAAAAAAAGTGATGGACCTTACTAATTAGGTTAATTAATGACACCCAATCCACACGTTAACCCGAAAACCTTAACTGAGAACAATCAGGTTATTACAACTGTAAATAGTGTCCTGTATACGCGTTGTTACTATAATGTTAAATTCCATCTACACAAATTCCTCAACCAATCGAACGTCATCTCCAGTCATTAATTATCTCAGAAGCCGAATTGAATGAGAATATGGGTATATTATTATTATATATTTGTATAGACTCTACTTACTAGATTAGTAACAATGAGTATCACGACGTATACTTAGACATATTTGCTTATTGTAGTGGTTACATAGTAACGGGGCTTCCATCATATGTCGATCTTCCTTGGCGCTTGCATCTACATGACGCGTCTGTATGTTCGCACTCGGAGAAAAATGCCCATTCTTCCCCCTCGCAAATAATGTAAAGCAAACTTACCCACATGGTTGGATGGACTGAGGAGTTCGACTATTAGGAAATCTCCCGCGATATATCTCTAGCCTAGGCAGGCACTACCGATTCCCATTACAGAATCGCATAAACAGAATATTAAGTCTGGATATATTCTGGTGTGTACGAAACTGATGTGGCATTTTTGAACGAAAGTAAGCAAACAGCACTACCATAAACTAACACAATTACTTAACGTAGATGATGACAGAAAAAAATGTATTCTTGTACACATAGAAAAACAATTGCTACATGACAATGGGGTGTGTGAATAAAATGATCAAGAAACGTCAAACGTCAACGCCAACCTTCATTTTAAATCTTTATTTAGGATTATATATATATATTAGACACGATTGAAGCAAATGGGACAAAAACCTAAGTACATAACAATATAATCAAAATATCACATCCCCGAAACACTAAACACATTCGGTCACGGACTTAGTAGTTGTCTAATAATAAATCCATAACATAAAAAAAATATATCTAACACTACCTTTCCCCAACCACCAAGTGTTCTAAAAAATATAAAAATTTGAAACAGCACAATAATCAATACAGTAATAGTCAAAAACAACTGGATACGTAAAAGCAGAACATAATCACCCTACAATAAAATCATTATAGAGCTTCCCTCCAAAACAAATCCCCAGAAAGCACCAAAACAAACCCAAATAATCACAACAACCCTAACACCTCAAGATGCAGCCAACCGAACAGTAATAGACACGTAAAATTGACCTACAAATCACTAACCCACCCCCAAACCACGCCGCTATCTCCCATCAATAACTTCTAACATACTAATTTATCATCTTCCAACCACAAACATACGAATAAGCCCACCACCCTATCACATCCAAACCCCGCCAGCGACAGCGGGACCCGGCACGACCCGTGAATGACCAACAAACAACGCTACACCCGACCCTAACCATTATAACCCACGCCCTACCTGTGAATAAAAAGCTAAAACGTCGACCAGCCAATCCCGGGGGGGGGGGGGGGGGGGGGGGGGGGGGGGGGGGGGGGGGGGGGGGGGGGGGGGGGCGACTCCGATGTCAATCCACTTAATGGACCTAGTAAACAAGGTCCACACCTTCAAAAAACCTCACAAGAGCCGAATACCCACTTTACCTGCCCAAGACAACACAGTGTCAATAATCACACAAACCCCCTGATTAAATAAATAAAAGGAAGAGGATTTGACATTATTATAACAGTGTCCACATGATAATTCACCGCATATTGACTCTCCAAATGGTATAAGTATTAAAAAGAACCTCAATGACCACACTTCCTGTATATTTGACACAAAACTTAAGTTCCACTAAATATAATTTTACGACTCTAGACGGAAACTAATTTATTATTATGTTTGCAAATAAAAAGTAAAATCGAGCGTAATGCAGGAAATGTAAAGCTTACAATAGGGTTTTTCTTATCAAGCAGTGACATACGTGGGCATGCACTAGTAGCATCGCCTTTAGCCATAAAAAAGTTAAATCGACAATTTGCCACTGTAAGAGTAGTCTTGAAAGGAGAGTCACAGTCCACCTCTCGAGACACAGTGCTATCTATATTCAAGCAGAATACACACAAGCAGTCATAATGGCTGAACATGACATTATCCAATAAATTTATACGGCAAGCAACTTGTTGTAGATTTAATTCCAGGCAAGTGTATATATGTCTGAACTATATATATCACAAGGCTAGGATGCCAACACATCAATTGCACGACTAAAAGGCTGTGCCGGTGACCGAAAAAGTCCCCCCAATCAGTAATCGAACTTGTCATTAGTCCATATTAGCAGATAATTATAACAACCAATGTTAATAATGTGATGGCAAATGATAGATAAAACAAGCATGATACTACTGCAGAACGCTCTCTTGGAGTAATGGAAGTATTAGCCTAACAGGAACGTATACATATTTTATGCAAATACCGACCAAACAGTATTCTTTTGTGCAAAGGAAACCTAACAAAGAAAAATAAATATCATTCATATTATTCACAACCTGGTCCTGTCTTTATCTCTAGGGGGGCGTCCCAAAAATAAGCACTCATTTTATGTCTTTATGATAATGGTCACTTTAAATTGATTATTACAACTTTCGTCCTATACTAACCCACGAATAGTTATAATGTTAGTTATTGGAATGGATGACATTAATGACTTTTGAATGCAATTAGAGATTGAATATGACGTTTCCCAAATCCGATAGCGAATCGAATTTTAGATCGATCGTAGATTACTTCTTAATTGACTAATTTTAGGATGTTAAATCTATTCTAAGTTGTATTAATAAACACTGGAAAATATTAGACCAAAATAACATTTTAATATATTAATTTGCCATCTTATTCGTATTTGTGCCGAATGTTAATAGATATATTCTTTTTAGGTTCTTGACGAAATGAAAAATGTCTTAGATTTAGTCGAAAGTGACCAAACGCCGCCCAGAACACACCAATTATTACAAGAGTTGCGAGATCTTAGTAGTATGGCAATGGAACATTTCGATGAACATATACTACCTAGAGTTAAAGAACAAGTTGATCGAAAAACAGGTAATTTTCAAGATGAAACATCCATCTTTCTCTGCGCATATTGGCTAGTTTTTCCAGAAGCTCGTCAGTGACACCAGGATCCACTATTCTCTACATAGTCATTAATAGGTATACTTCGTCACATTCATTGTTTCATCCCGGGATGCCTTTCTTTAGTTGCCTGTCCATATTGAATGATTGGTTTAGAGTATTTGGTGTTGCAAAGCACAGGTCCAGGTTGTACGCTCCTGTCTATATTCCACGCTGCTATCTGCTATATGCTTTTGTCTTTGGCATTAAATACCAGGTTTAAATTGCTTCCTTCAGCCTATTTTACAAGCATATCTCCCAATTGCTCATTTCGGTTCTATTTCCATATAATATTGTGATTATTAAAGCTGTCTACGTAGGTTCCACGACGGTTAAGTACTGGTAATGCTTCAGTCCGTTTTACATGAGGAGCTTTATACAAATCGGTTAATCATTAGCTCCTGAAACTATTATGGTTATGCTGTGTATGCCGTTTTTAGAGCTAGTATTCATTAAGTGGCCATCTTCTATGTTATTGCGAATATATATAACACATCTTGAAAACGGGCAGGGTTTCTCTAACACCGTCCAAGTGTAATAAATATTTCGGCCGGGTACAAGTAATTAGGTACAAATTACTTCGGATTATTCCTTCGACTTTGGTATATTTCCATTAAGCGGTGGTTCTTTTTGTTGTGTGTATTTAAATAAAGTACTTCTTACTCAGTAGAAATGTATTTCAATTATAAAATAGTATATCTTTAAATCGGTTTGATAGTATAAATACAAATTCTTTTTTATTTGCTCTCTGCTTGTATAAGAAAAAAATATAACAATAGTTAATCTGTGATCTGATGATTTGCCGAGTAGCTGCTTTGTCGGCAGTTGAACGTAAAGAGCGGTGTGCCCGCTTTGGTCAACAGTTAAAACGCAAGAGAAAGAAATTTTCTCTGTGCAATCTTTTGCAGAGTCATTTTGGACCGCGCGATGCTGCAACGAGGGGTAAGACGTGGAAGCGCTTTTGAAAGTTTGGATTAAGTCTGAACACATCTATAAATATGGTGAAATCTGACACTCAGTGGCTCATATTCTGGTATTATCTCTCTTATCTTCAGATTATCCTCGTTATCCACATGCGTGTATTGAATGTAAACTACGTCAATCGTGATATCTAGCAAAGTTTTGATAGGTGTTCGTATTTTTGACCTAACGAGTCATTATATGTTTTGTCAGCAAATACGGAGACTGTTTTGTGCGATGATAAGATAGTCTAACTGCTTAGTCAATCCTTAGTTCATTTAGTTTACAAGAAAACGTGCTATCCAGGGTGCACCATGGGGATGCGAACTACCGGTGATACAACCACTAGAAAAGATATTTCGTTATGAATACCGGTACGTGAAGAAGATTTGCGACGTCTACAATCTATACTTAAGAAAGAATAACAGTAAATACGCAGAGCAGAACATCCTTTTAAAGTTCACCTCCAATATATTGACTATATTCTTTTCTTCTATGTGTTTACAGATAAAATAATTGATATTTTAAATTATTTTATAGCGTTATCTTATGGTTGCCCAGCTTCAAGTTCGAAAACGCCAAGACTTATATATGCGCACAATTCACTGTCCAATGAAATACACAAAGTTAAAAAACAAAGTAAAACCCATAAGTATCATATTTCATTTTTAACACTGAGTACTCAAAAATTATTCCAAAAGGTAAGTAAGAATATGTAAAAAATTTCTCTTCTATATTTAGTTGTTAAAATGTAAAAACCGAGTTAAAAGCTAGACTGTTTTTTTATCTACGAGTGTCCGCGCTTTTGGACGAAATTTATGGCATCTAATAAAGTAACGGGGGATTCACTACGGTTTTTTACATCATTCAGGATCCGCTTAACTAAAAGTTTTCTATAGTGAACTTTTAGGGACCTTATTATGCAGAAACGGTTGCAGAACAGATGTGCAATTTGGAGGTAAAAAAAGAAGTTGAATGTTTTTTTAACCCGTTAGTTTTCGGATGGACTGTACAATTGTCAACAATTAAAATAATTTATCGATGTCCCAACTCTCTGTTCCACTTCAAAAGTTCTCCACTAAAAATCTCTGCTGTTATCCACGATTTTTTATTAAATTTATATTGTGACAGGAAGCTGATTTACACCTCTGAAACATCGTTGCTTTTGAGATTTCCCAATGACTACCAACTTTCTTTTTTTCAGGACCGGACATGTTGGCACACACGAGTACAGTTACATTTTCTTTTAATAACTTGCCACCTATACCACGTTCATTTTTGAATTTGAGGGTCTTATCTGGATTAAGTTTAAAAAAAATGTCCCAGCTCGTCGGCATTGAAAACATTATCGTCACTGTAATTTTGTCTCATTGTAGACCATTACTTCAACCAATTGTCGGCAACTTCTTTGGAAACATTCTTCGCTTCACCGCAAATTTTTCCACACATAATTTCCTGCCTGGTGTTAAAACGGCTCATCCACCCACTCGACGCGTTAACATTCTCATTACTACCCTAGCGCCTGCGAAAACTGTGTTACTTTTTCTTGAAGCAGTAGTCCACTTATTGGAACATTCGTAGCCCTGTTTACGGTAAACCATTTGATCATTGTAGTTTCGAGTTATTTATTAGTTGCGGCACGTAGTTTTTTCCATTTACCGGAATAATATGAAACTGCTTCGAAAATCTTGTATTTATTTTGAGCATGGTAGATAGAGTGGAACTTGAAATTTCTGCTTTTTTTCTTATCGTTCTCAACACCTTTAAACATGTTAATTTTTCTTATAAAGTAAATGCTTATCTTTTAGAAGTCATAGTATCTATGTGACTATGTAATCTACAACACAATCAGGAAACAAACGATAAACATCTACGACAAAAACAACTGTGATATGAAATTCTGGTAAAATTTGTTTCATTTGTCAAGTTTTGAAGCCTCTTTACGTAGTTTATTAAGTGCGAATGGTCAAACCCCTACACTGACCCTTGTGAATCATAAATTGTAAATTTCCGACAACACGGTATCGGTCGGTAGATTAAACAGAAGTTTATTGTGGGCGGCAGTTAAAAAGGGTATTTATTTAGAGCCATGGCCGTGCCAAAAACGTAAAAAAATACGTTTTTCGGTCTTATTTTTCTCGTTATAACCAAATTTGCCTCGCTATAGAGGGTTATAGTTTAATAGAAACTTCACGGGACATCTAATGTACCTCGTTATAAGCGAAACTTCGTAATAACCGTGTCCGTTATAGAGGGAGTATACTGTATATAAATCTTTTAGTCCCGTTCTTGACAAGTAATATATTTCAATTTTATTTATTGTAAGGTATAATTTATATTATTTTTATACTTTCTAGCTGAGAAAACAAAACATACGCATAAAGGCTCAATCACTGAAAATAAGAGAGCAAGAAAAGAAAATCCAGGAGCAACAAACGAAGATTCAAGAACAAGAAGCTACTTTGGCTGACTTTAAAAAGCACATCGACGAGTGGAATCAAAAATATAAAGATCTAACTACGGAATTCGTACGCGCAATAGAAACTTTCGTGCCTGCCACGTCTCCGAGATCTTCACCGGTTTCATCTCCGACTCCAGCAACACCTCGTTTGTATAAGACGAAATATCAAACCGCGCAAGACCCATATTTTACCCAAGAGCTACTCGGGATTAAATTTTGATCTAGAAAGAAAAAGAAAGTCTAATTTGTTGCCACGATCTTCCCTTGAAGCGTAATAAAGCTGGGGAAGAAGGTAGTGAGAGTGGTAACTTGAGAATTGTAGAGCTTCCTAGTTTTAGCGGCGATAATGAAAAGGGTGATAGGGCCACTTCTGAGAAGGCACCTTCTAAAGTAGTTTATGGTTCAAAGTCAGTATTTAGTAATACGGATTTTGGACAAATGATAGAAAATTGGTTATTAAATCCGTTAAATAATATAAAAAGTAGGAAGCGAAAGATGCACGAAGATAGTAATTTTAAAGAAATGGTGTTAGATAAGGTGTATTCGCACTGTAGTGGAATTCAGATCATTTAACATATTTCATAATGTGTATTGAACTCGTTGAACTCTGACGTGACAGTACAACTTTAAAAATGCAATTTCATACAAATAATACATTTAAAGAATTTTCACGATTTCCATACCCCTCAAAAATTACTGTCCCGATGGACAAATATTTTGCGCAAGAGCCAATAAAAACTAATTGTTTTCGTATTGTAATAAAAAGATAACGTTTATACATTATCTTAACAATTAAAACTTTAATATCTGTTACTGATCACTACTCGCTTTTTGATTCATACAATTAATACTAGACTAGACGGGATCTGTAGAAATTCAGATCATAATGGACATTTTCCATAGGAAGCAATTTTTTGCTGTAAAGTCAATTTTTTTTATTATCCCATATTGTAATTCAACAATAAACAGTAAATTTTCAGTTTCTACTACGAATATATTGTTAAAATTGAATAACGTTTAAATTTTTTCTCAGGATCAATCATAATCGAATATATCCCAACGTATACGAATAGGAGCAAAAAAATGAGAAAATTTCTCAATGTTTTCAGATTTTGTATAAATCAAAATTTAGCACAGGTTTGCCGACTGGCCATATCGTGATTATCGATATTGGGCACATCCTGAAGGTTCACAGCAAAAACTTAGAAACCTTGGTATATAGCCCTCCCAACTAGAGTAAAAGTACCACTACTCAAACAGAGTGCCTCCCATATGTAGCAACCTCAAGAGCACCTAGAGATCGTGATCACACCACCAAAGTCAAACAAGAACTTAAAGTACTAAAGTCTGCATGCCCGCCTACTTCTGAATATTCTGACGAGTTTACTCCAGAAGAAATTATTTCAGCCACATCAGAAATTAAATCTGGAAAAGCACCCGGCTCCGATAAAATTCATCCAGAATTTTTACTCCACTGTGGCAAATATGCTAGGAAATGGCTGGCTGATTTTTATACAGATACGTTAAAATCAGGAGAAATCCCCCATTCATTAAAAAAGGCCTCCATTATAGCCATATTAAAACCAGGAAAGGCAAATAATCAGCCTCAAAACTACCGTCCGATTGCTTTGCCGAGCTGTGTTTTATAAACTGTTGGAACGCTTAATCTACAAACAGAATTAGTAGAAAAGTATTTGAATTGATACCTATTGAGCAAGCAGGATTCAGACCTAAACGCAGCTGCACAGATCAGATCCTATCCTTAACAACACATATTGAAGCTGGTTTTCAAAGAAAACAAAAAACACCCGTTGCTTTCATTGACCTATCAGCTGCGTACGATACTGTCTGGAGACAGGGACTAATCTGCAAGCTAATCCGTGCCGTCCCGTGTCAAAAGGTAACTAAACTCATTGATAACATGCTCACCGACAGACCTTTTCAAGTCACAATAGACAATTCTAAAAGTTCCCAAATGAAGCTCAGCAATGGACTGCCACAGGGATCTGTTTTGGCACCCTTACTGTTCAATTTATATATCGCGGACCTACCTAGGACAACTTCGCAGAAATTTGGCTACGCTGACGATTGGGCCATTGCAGCAAGACATAATAACATGGATATCACAGAAACAATATTAGCGGATGACCTTGCCATTATGGGAGAATACTTTCGCAAATGGAGGCTACGGCTTAATGCAACGAAAACCGAAGTGTGCTGTTTCCATCTGAATAATGCCCAAGCCAACAAAAAACTCTCCATCCACTTCGAAAACAGACTGCTCACTCATAACTCAACACCAAAATATCTTGGAGTGACTCTGGACAGAACATTGGGTTTTAAAGAACAACTTCAAAGAACGACAGCAAAGCTGAAAACGAGAAATAATATAGTCCAAAAGCTATGTGGCACTACATGGGGGTCTTCAGCCTCCGTACTCAGATCATCCGCTCTCGGACTTGTATACTCGGTGGCTGAATATGCTTCCCCGGTATGGCTCAATAGCAAACACACAAAGATTATTGACACTCAATTAAACCAGACAATGCGAATGATCTCAGGTACAATTAGACCCACACCGAACTATTGGCTTCCCATTCTGAGTCACATTCCACCGCCGAAACTGCGAAGAAGTCATTTTCTTCTCAGAGAATATCGAAAAATTGAGGCTAACCCATACCAGCTACCCATACACCAAGATTAGCTTGATATCGAAATAAACAGACTGCGCTCCAGATATCCTCCATTGCTAAGAGCCAACTCCTTACATCAGGAACATTTGAACCTGACCAAAGCTTGGAGAACACAATGGGAGAGCGACTCACCACAGGAAGCACATTAAATGGCCTGTATCGATCAGAAACCGCCAGGCTTTGAACTGACTCGCAATACATTGACAACGCTAAACAGAATAAGAACAAGCAGTGGTAGATGTGCTGACAGCTTATATAGATGGGGAAAAGCCCTTACTCCTGAGTGTGACTGTGGTGCGCAACGACAGACCGTCCGTCACATTGTTGAAGAATGTCCCCGAAGGCGATTCCGTGGAGTTTTCGATGAGTTCCTGAATGCGACCGAAAATGTTTTACATTATATTAATAATGCATTAGATGTTCGTTTGTAATACTTCATGTAACGTTTTTATATTGATTTTTTTAATTGTGTGTTCTTATTGTATGCCATACGATAAATAAATCCAGCAAAAAATAGCTTCCTAGAAAAATGTCCGATCCAAAACAGATCCCGCCTAGACTATATGTTCTTTTTTAGTTTTAAAGAATCTGATAATAGTCCAGGAAATAAGCTTTTCTCAGAATTTCCCTCAGTCACACTGAGAGTGTAGTCCAGTTAAGATAGGAATGCGCATTTGCCGGATTTCACGCCATGTGCTTGGTAGCAAACAAGTCCAAGTAGTGGTCACAGGTACAAAACCATCCAAAGACCTTTACAGCACGACCCTATTACGAGTGAAACTACCTTTCATTATATAGCGGGTGGCCAAATTATTAGGGACAATAAGATGATTTCTTAATTTTCTAGTTTAACTCAATTTTTTAGCAAGTTGTTGGCTTTAAGGCTTGCATCTATTTTTTGTATAAAAGAGTGGTATTAAGGCGACAAAAACCATGAGTTCTGTTAGCAAAACCATTTATTTTTTCGCAAAAAAAAATTGTTACATAAAATCACTAATTTCAATATTTAGTGATGCCACCCTTTGCTGCAATTACAGCTTCTACACGTCGGGGCATGCTCTGAATACAAACTTCTGCATTGTGTTTTAATTTTGGGTTATGATGCCATTGTTTAATAAGAGCTTCAATCAACTGCCGCTTCGTTGTGATAACATCTTTGGCGATCTTCCGTTTGGTTAACTCCCACATACTTTCTATGGGGTTCATGTCAGGTGAGTTTCCCCGCCAGGGCAGTACTGTAATATTTTCTTTTGACAGAGATGAAGTTACACTTCTAGCTTTGTGGCACGGTGCAGAATCGTGCATTGACTAAGGAACCATTCTTTGAGCTGGGGAAGTAGCCGAGTTTCAAGTATTCGCTTATACTGGTCGTGTCTCATTGTCCCACGATGTATAAGCATCCCATACCCTTGGAAGAGATTACAGACCACACCATAACACTAACCGGATGTTTAACCCTCTCCACAATGCAATCTGAATGGAACTGCTCCCCAGGACGTCGTCGAAAGAACGCACTTTTGTCCACCAAAATCTGGAATGTTGATTCGTCGGAGACGCACACCTGAAAAATGAAAATATTTGCTGTTCACGAACTCCATTCGTTGAAAAAAGTTGTACTTACTCGACTCCAGTCTTCAACGGTCATACTTCGGTACTGCTTGGCTCATTGGAGTCTCTTTTTCTTCATTGCGTCGGTGAGTCGTGGTTTTTTCATACGTCGGCCTATAGCGGCCGCTATACTATTCGCGAAGTGGATCGAAGTATTTTTTCATCTAACTCTTTTCTTCCATTTTTTCTACTGTTTTCAATCTCATGATTACCAAATAGTATTCACTTCCAATATCTGCCTCTCTTTTAATCCTTGTGTCTATTCCATTTATTAGTATTAGGGCTCACCAGAAAATAGTCTATTATTGATTTTTTGTTTCTGTTTTTTGCTGCACGTTTATATTTGTGGGTTTATTTGTTTATTAATTTAATTTTGCATATGTGCAATTTTAGTCGAACTAAACATTGATATTGAGACTAATATGTACGTGTATTATGCTCAGGATTGCTCTCTAATTTCGGTGGGATAGCCAAGCGGACCAGATGGAGAAATCGCATTCACTTTAGTGTGAATGATCTACTGGTCGATGGTACAGACCATGGACACGTCCATGGTACAGACCCTGGCTAGAAAATAAAAAGACATTAGTGCTTGCAGTTCGGTTGCCCACTCCATACATCACCATCAGACCAGCGTATACGCTTAAAAAATCGCTATATGTATTTAAATTGCTCTCTAATTTGCTTAAAGCGATATCTTGATTCCTTAAATCACTTAGAAATCATACAGCTTAGGAATTATTGGCTCTCTTACAGTTTTTATCATAGTGCCATTTTGATTTTAGGCAAAGAATATACTGGTCAGGATAGTCAGTCATTCAAAGTTTGAATTTTTCGTCATAGTGTCTGAAACACAGCGTTATTGGCGACGTGCAAGTACTTGGATGTGATACGAGAAACGATCGTGCGCGAGTAGCGGAGAAATCTTGTATTTTTTACTGCACATTTCATAGATTTCATAAATTCATATTGTCAATTGTCATATTTCATATTTGTTTGTTTATTTACACCTTCTGTCACTGAAGAAAATGGGATTTGGGAAATGTTGTGTTATAAATTGTAAAAATACAACAAAAAATTGTCAATTTAAGTTTTATTCGTTTCCAACTTCGAAGCACAAATTATTACAAAGAGAAAAGTGGATTTATATCATAAAAAAGCATAAGTAACATAACCTATATTATGCATTATTCTTGCGCCCGATTTT